AGCTCCTGGGAGGGCCCCTCCAGCACCAGCAACCAAAGCTCAAGGTCCACTTGCCCCACTGGTTGTGGCAGGACCGGTTGATGGTGCCCAGTGACTTTCCCAGCCGGCAGCCTGATGGCAGCAATGAATCAGCAGCCGGTGGACTTGTCAAAGGCATTCCTCCACTTTAATCCTATTGACAGGGACTACTGCCTGGAACAGGAACTGCGGGGTGAGCCATGTCAACAGCAGATTCTTATTACAGATAATATTGATGGGGCCTTTACTTGAATAATGAAGGGAAGAGCCCTCTGCTTTGACGTTTGTCTCCAAAACCTAGAATTACTAAGAGTTTAACCATCGGAGGGGAGCTTAAGATAGTTGCATCTTAAAGGATCTGCTTTCTTGTCGCATTCAAGGCTGGGAAAGGAGTTTAGCCCATACGCTGGTAGCTCTGTGCTGACCTTTTCACTGCTCTTAATAAATGTTACAGTTAAATAAAGTTGGATGGATTTTTCTATCTACTGTAGTGTGTTATCCACTTGCTGGGGGAAAAAAAGGTAAGAAACCCTCAAATCCCTGTTTAATATCACTGTTACTCATTATCTTTGCTAGCTGCAGGGCAAAAGGCAAGGAGGAAGGGCAGGGGCAGGACAATTCAGCCACATTATCAAGGTAATTCCTACCATTGCACATGATTATGTGTGTCTGTGTATATGGGTGAATGAATTGGGGCTGTTTAAATTGGTTGGGATCTTACGGCCAAAGCTCAAACCAGAATCAAGCAGCTCTGAAAATGTTTGGGTGAAGTTTTGTTTGCTTGTTTTTGATTTACTCTCTCATTTTCTGTGCTTTAAAATGAGAGGAGAAAAATCCTTTGTCCAGTCTTGGTTCCCTATAGGAGTTGGAGACACCAGGGCACAGAGGAGAGGCTCCCTGGGAAGTCAAAAAGGGCACAAAGGATCAGCCATTCCAGGAAATAACCCGTCCTTGCACGTTTCCTCACGTTTTGGCTTCTATAGCATGATGGCAGGCACTGTGATGAGAGAAGGTAAGGAAGGAAGATGGGGCTAAATGGTGGCACCCCAGTTCTTGGATTTTCAAAGTAACCAGGAGCTCAGAGGTGTCCCTCTGAAGCCTTATCTAGAGACATCTCTAACTGGGGTTTGAACCTCCAGCTCCTATTGGGACAGATGAGGAAGAGAGCAGCAAAGATGGCCTTTGGTCACATTTATACCTCCCAGATCCTCGTGCTGGCCCAGGACTGAACCAGCAGGTGGTTTAGGTTAGAACAGCCCCTTGGCTGCTCTAACTTAATCCAGCTGGAGTCTCTCCTGGGGCTGGTTCTACCAGACAAGGTTTGCTGGATTACAGAGGGCCCCGAAAGCCTCCAGCCCATCCCTGCATGGCCTACACCAGAGGACCAAGGAGCAGATGACATGGAAGTGTCAGGGCAGGTCCTGGCCGGTGCTTTAGGATGGCTTTAATTCCTTCACACTGCTGCAGAATATCAGTGTCTGGTCCAAGGGAGCCTGTTCTCATAGTAGCTTTAGCCTGATTTTGAAGACCCTGGAGGTTCTGGATTGTCCGTGAGTCCCTGTATTCTGGGCATTCTGACTTGATCTGCTGAACATTTTCCATACATCAACAGCAAAATTTCAGGTTGGATGAGTCAGGTTCTAGATTTAAAGTAAGCAAGTCAAGGGCTCCAGAATCAATGGGGTCCTTCAGTTAATGAGAGGCTTTTTAATTGTCTCCTTAAAGAAAAACTACTGATAAATCTTGACTCCCCCATGCTTGCTTGTTTGGTTTGGAGGGTGCTTTAGGGTACATGGGGCTTGTGTTTCTCAGCTTTTGTCTACAACCTGGAGGCCTATGAACAGCTTGCTCCTCTTTCTTCTCTTTTTAAAAGGAAATCTGAGATTTTTGCATAATACATTGGAGCAAGAAGCTGGGGAGGGGGTGAAGAAAAACATCAAATACTGTGGGAGTAAAACTGCAAGAGTTGGCAACACTGATTTCTTTTTTTTCCTTGTTTTTCTTTGTTTTCCAGAGAAAAAGCAAACACCCCCCATTTTGCTGAGCCCCAGCAGGGTGAGCAGAGGGAAAAGGTGCTTCAGGGCAGGAAGAAACTATGAAGAAATAGGTTTGCAAACTCCATTTATATTGGATTGTTTGGAACTTGTCCTGAGAGCTGCCTTCTGGGGACAGCTGTCCTGCTCTGAGGAGGGAGCACAGAGATGAGTGTGGGGAGAAGCTGTGTGGGGCTCTCAGGCTGGGAGAGCATTCAGGTTGCCATTGCCTCTGGTTGTGCTCAGGCCCCAGCTGTGCCAGCTCCTCAAGGAGGGCAAGGAGAGGCTGGGTGTGAAGAGGAAAGGCTGCACGAAACCCATTTCTTCCCATAGGACCAACATCTTCTGCAACAGAAGTCATGGTCGGCCAGAATCAGCCCTGGCAGGAGGAGAGGTGGAAAAGGACTGGCAGTCAGTGCCATTACACCCAGGCTCTCTCCATGCTGGTCATCTGGATGTGATGGCAATGCTGCAATGACCCCATGCTCAAGGAAGACAGGTAGAAGAGCCTGAGTCTATGCTGGAGAAGTGCATGGGATGCTCCATCCTTGGCAGTGTTCAAGGCCAGATTGGATGGGACTTGGAGCAACCTGCTTTGGTGGAAGATGTCCCTGCCCATGACAGGGGGTTGGAACTGGATAAGCTTTAAGATCACTTCCAACACAAAACCAATCTATGATTCTATGGTTGTATCTGACACCAGCTCTGATGCCTGCTAGACTCCCAAGCCTAACCTGCAGTAATCGATAAATGGAGGCTCAGCAGAGTAGGACATTGCCCTTCATGTATTGCATCCCAAGGGATGTTGCCACTAACGCAGTCACAGCCAGTATCTACTCTGGGCTGTTTAACAGCAGAAATTAATGTTGTCTATCTCGCCTTGGCTGCACATGGCATGCACAGGGGGACTGTTGCTTATTAGCACTCGCAGTCATTGGCAAGAGCTGCTGGAACGGAGGTTGAGCTCCAACTGCTATTCCTGCCTGTCCTCCTCCACTTGTGCTTGTATCTTTCTCAAGCTCATTTCTGTTGGGCTGCAATTTTCCATGCTTCATCTTAGCCCAGTGACACGTTTTTGCTGAAGGTATTGGCCTTGCTGGTTGGAGTCCTCTTTGTGGAGCTCCTTCCTAATCTCTGCCCCACGGTGAACGTCCGTCTTTCATGTCTGAGGAGGTGTCAGGCTGCAGAAAATATTTAGAGGATGGATTCTGATTTATTTACTTGTTTATTTATTTGGAAAAGTGACTTAAAAGTTTACATTTCAGTCAACTGGAACTTAAAAGGAAATCTTTTATTTAGCTCTCTCCCGGTGGAAAACTGGGCAGCTCTGGCAAAATTCAAGTTTTTCCATGGAACATTTAGATTTTGTAAAAACTACATTTTCTACTGAAAAAAAAAATTATTTTGATCAGAAGTTTTGGATCTGCTCTGCTTTTGAAGGATGATTCAAAAACATGAAGGCAAAAATCTCCCCTTCCAATGTCTAATATAGCAACTATTTTTTTTTAGCATTACTTCAATTCCATCTCCTTAGCGAGGAGGATAGAAAAAATATTCAGCTTAGGGAAAAGCATTTTATCAGTTATAAAGTTGTTGAAATTTAAAATGGGTATCTTAGTGCAGTGCTGGATTTGCTGCTTGCCTTTCTTCCTATCTGGGTCGAGGATGCCAGGCTTTAAAACGTGGTGTTAACTCAGTTAAAGGTATCTCTGATCGGATGTTTTTGGTTGTTGGTGTTGGATCTTTTCTTAAGAACAGCTGGAATACAGCAAGATCTGTTTAGGTTTGAGAGACTAAAACTTACTTCTGGGAACTGGGTGTCTTCATTCAAGGTGATTCTGTAATAGCAGTTCCAGGGCTGGATTTGTTATTTATGGGAGTGTTGTGGTTTAATACGTGTTTTTCCCCTCTATTTTCAAACTTAAAGATTGTTTTCCTTAGCCACCTCTTTCTTAGAAAATAGGATAGCTAAATACTGAGCTTAACTAATTACATCTTCAAAAGTTAGCAAGCTCCTGTTCAAGAATTAATGGCATCACAAAGTTAATCCATGGTCACCATGAGTAGGTATCAATCTGGTATTTTCAGACAGGCACATACATGTACAGAACTGGGGGGGTCTCTGCAGTGAACATGAAATAGTTCCCTGAAAGCACAATGCATTCAACGTGGCTAATTTGCAAAATGCCCAGAATGCATCACAGTGGATGACTTGCTTTGAAACGTTAGAATAGGTGATAAGAAAGTCATGCTATAGAATCTTTTATATATATTTCAAACAACTCCTGCTTAAAGGGGGAGGGGGGAATCTTTATAATTAACACGACAGATAAGAGCAACTGTGGCACTTTAAATAAATGCAGTGTATTTGATTTTTGAAGTAGAGTTTAAGATTCTGGGGATGTGTTCAAGAGAGGACAAACTATGTGCTCAGTATTGAAAATGAAGGGATGCTATAGATCATCTTTCAGACTGAGCTCCCTCACAGAACTTCTCTGTTCTCAGCCTTCAGCAGAGAGCCTCCTAGGAAACAAGTGGGGCTAATTAAAAGAGAGCTGACAAAAGGGGGGCCCTACAAGGGAAGGTTTAAGTGGCTTCTTTTCCATGCCATTGCCATGCAAGGAGAAGGCATCCAAGATCCAGCTATGGTGGAAGTAACTCTTGAGGAATGCCACGTCCTTGCAGATTTTAAAATGAAACACAGGGCTGGTGATGGCTTAGGTGTTAGACATAATGGACATTATGTTGGTCATTGGACGGAGACTTGGTAGCCAGTGCAGTGAAGAGTTTCACTTAGTTTTTGGATGGGTGGCCCTAGGTCCCATGCTGGGCTAAATTCTACAGCTCCTCTAAAGGTATGTAGGCATGAGCTAGAGGTGGATGGCTGTACAGCAGAAAGGGTGAATGAATATTTGCAACCTGCTCTAGTGGAAGGTGTCCCATTTGGAACTAGATGAGCTTTAAGGTCCCTTCCAACCCAAACCAGGCTGGGATTCTCCGATTTCCCACTAGCACTTTTCTCTGCAGAGCCCATCACCAGGGTGAATTAAAAATTCCAGATTTCTGGAGCGCACTCTTCTCATTTCATAGCTGCTGCTCAGGCAAAGCTGGTATTAATTCAGGAAGAGTCTCCCCGAGCAAGAACTCTCCAGAGTCCAAAATATTTTGCAGGCAGTAAATACAGGAATTATTCACCTACCACAGAACAGCATCAGCCTCTGGGTGGAATGCAGGAGCTGGTTAACAGTGTGCAGAAACACTTCCCCCCAGGTTTGGACAGGAGTTGGAAGTTTGTGTGTGCCCGACTGAAACTGCAACCAAAAGTGATGAGTCGCTCCCTTGGTCCTGGAGGGGCAAGCACCAGCTACCTGGGTACCTCACCACTTCCTCTGGGATGCCAGGAGGCTTTTCTGGAGCTCACCCATCTGACCCAGTCCTCCACATGAGATCTGGCAACACAATCGCTCCAAGTGTCTGGGTAAGTACTGTAAAATGCTTCAAATAAGTGAATAGAAATCATCTGCTTCATAAATGCCAAGGGCTTTCAACATGTCGTTTCTTGGTAAACAAAGAATTTCAGCACGACAATATCTTAGTATGTTATTGGCCATATTTGTTCCCTCGTGCGTACTGAAGCGAGTGTGAGCAGAGCTGCTCAGCTATTCCCTACGTCCTGCTGCAGCTGGGAGCTTTGCAGTGGAGATGAGGGGGCTGCCCTGGCTCCCCTGGGACAGACTGCTCTGCCCCCAGTGCCCAAACCTCCTGTTTCTGCGGTGGTGAAGGGCAGGTGAGAGTTCTGCTCGTGCTCCGTTTTGCACAAAATGCTGTGATTAGGGAACAAAAACCCAAACAAAACACGTACTCCTTTTTGCGGACATTAGAATGCAATGAAAATGTGTGTGCTCGCCCCCCAGCTAAATTGATTACATCTGGTGGCATGAAAAAAAATAGCCAAAATGTCAGACTGAGTCACACAGCCCCCTTGGGTGGTTATATTTATTTCAGGGTTGGAGCACTCATCAAAACAATTTATCCTTGGCTCTCCCTCTCAGCCTTCCCATCTCTGTGCTTACAAACTCTTCTCTCTTCCCTAACACTTGTAGTTAGCCCCAAGCCTCCTCTTTCCCCCAGTCCTTCCTTTTTCTGTGTTTCCCATCTCCATGTCCTGGGGCCTTTCTTCATCCCCTCCTTCCCCTTTGCTACATCAGCCCCAGCAAACCCTGGAGCTGCAGGTTTCCCCTGGGGATAGCATGGGAAGCTGGAGCACTGACAGAGCTTGATGTTCTAATGCTGGGTCACCTCTTGAGTGTCTTGTTTCACATAGCTTGGGGTGAAAGGAGATGGTAAATGTATCAGTGAGCTCCCTATGCAGTTTCCATCTTTGCTGTGATGGTGGGACTGTGACTGCTGGGGTGGCCACAGCTCCAACTCCAGCCTCATCTGCTCATCCTTGGCTGCCCTGACCTGCTCTGGCATTGGAGGCGGAGCTGTTGGCTTGCTTTAGGAGGGTTATTTTTTGGTCCTGTGTTTTCCCTCTGGCAGGGAGCAGCACCAGAAGCACCTGCAGGGTTAGGAGAGTATGCTCCAAGAACATAAAACCCCCTTTCCATCTCTCTTCCCGAACCTCAGCCCCATGCCCAAATCCAAGGAGAATGGCCACCTTCTGCCTGCAGCCCTGGGGACACCCTGTACACCTCAGTCTGTAAGTCCTGTTGCGATCTGCTGCCAGGTTCTGCCTGCTCTCCTGTGTTACACTAACCACAGCTGCAGAAGACCAAGCACTCTGGGATCCTCATGGGTGGAAATGGCAGCAGAAATGCACTTCTCTGTTTTGTCTCCATGATGATGAAAGGTCCTGGTCTGGCAGGAGCCAGGACCAAAGCCCTTTGTTGCTCTTTCTCTGGAGCTGGAGGATTACCCTGCCCAGAAATACCCCCTTGCATTCTTCACTCTTGTGCAGGCATCAATGGCAGATGAGGAAGACACGTTCACCCTCCACTATCTTGGCTGGGAGAGGACATGAGAAGCTCATGGCACCACTGCCTCTGCGCTTAATGTGCTCTGTCCCGTCCGTGGTGCCTCCTGCTCCCAGCCTGGGCAGCAGGCTCCTGTTGCACCGCACACCACACTTGTCTCCTGTGGTAAATCAGAGCCCCAGGGGATCTGGTATTGTGCTTTTTTTTTTTCCCCCAGGTATTTTTGTCTGTGAACCACAGAAAACTGAATAGCAGGAAATGAAGTGCAGATTGGGAACATGGTTGAGTACACTTGCTAAAATAAAACATTGGGGGGAGGGAGAGATTCTTTTACAACAGAAAATGAAGTGTGTTTACTCTTTATTGATGAAGTATTTAATTGTGGTGAGGCTTTGAGAGATGCTCCTGGTGGCACCTCAGGCTGTGCATTGTCTCAAAATGCCATTTGGTCTTTGGTGCAAACACCTTGCTGGGTCGAACTCGAACTCGCATCTTTGTGTTGCAAGGGGATGTCAGGAATTTCCAGTGATCTCTGACATGCCACAGTGCCAGGAGGGCAAAGAACCCCACTGGTATCTTCTTAAAGTGGACTAAGTACTAAAAGGACCTGAAGGTTTGTGGAGTAGATGCATTTGACAGCAGAAATGAAGTCTCTGCCCATTGTCCCTGCACAGTGTTGTCTGGGCAGGCTTTACCTAAGCACTGATTTTGGCCTCTGTGGTCTGTTCAGCCTTTAGACTCCATCCAGAGCGTGCCAGCAAAGCAAGCCACACCGGAGAGCATCAGCTGAGCTGGTGCAAGGTACACACACACCTGAGCTGGTGCTGAAGTGCCCTGCTGAGGAAGGCAGGTCAGCTCGGATGCTGTCCCCAGTGCTGTCGCGGCTGTGCTCTTTCTGGGATGCGTCCTGGAGCTGACATGCTGACCTCTGCACTGCATCACGTTGTGTCATGGAGCTGTGCCACCGAGCCTCAGAGCCTGCTCAGAGCTCTCTGTTGTGCCTCTTTCTTAAGCAGGGCAAATAGCACAAGTGAGTGCAGGGTGTGGAGATAAGGCTGTGACCTTTTAGATTATTCTGTTGCTTTACTACAAATGCTGATGGGTCCAGCCAGGCAGCTGGGTTCTTTTGTGAGATTAAATTAATCTCATTAATTCAAATGTCTAAAAGTAGCAGCCTTTAGTCAGCAGTGACCTGCACTGTTCTTGTGCTGGGGGTAGATCTTTAGAGTCCATCTCCCATTGCTGGAGCTGTCCTGCTCTCCCTGTGTTTCTGAATCACTGTCTGAAGCATTGTGCTTTTGTGTTTGGTTTTGTCCAGTGAAGGATTATGAGGCTTCACAAGCAGAGAAGACCAAGATGCGTGAAGTCTCCATGACAGGTCTGTGCACTTTTACATAGAACATGTGTGCAACCAAGAGGTGTGTCCATAATGAATTAAATGGGGCTACATTTGGGCATTTGTTTGGTCTTAGCTGTGTAAAGATTCCAGAAAAGCTTTTAAGTACTTGCCAAAGTCAGTGAGAGCCAACCACCTTTATTAAAGCTTGCTTGAATCAGATCCTAACTGTACAGAAACTGGACACAGCAGTTGCTTTTTAGAGGGACTAATATTAATCATACAAATGTCTATGGAGCAAAACTGTTGTAAAGGAACACCAGGCGAGTGTCCCCATCCCAACCAGCCTTCACCCTTTTCCAACAGTGCCTATACAGAGAAAGCCATCATTCCCTTTAGCCATAAGAGCTGGTGATGCTGCACAACACTGTTGGAAATCAGAATAGTTTGGGTTGGAAAGGACCTTAAGATCATGCAGTTCCGACCTCCTGCCATGAGCAGGGATGTTCAAACCCTTCCCTCTGTACCTAAAGCCATGGAGCAGAGCATGTAAGGATGATCCAGGCCTCCTTGTCTCATCTGTCTTACCTATCTATACCAAGATGCTATTTCCAAAACTCCTGTCTTGACAATGCTTTAGCAGGATCAAATGTCCCTTTATGCAGCCTCCAGATGGAACAGCCACCAGCCCAACAGAGGAGACCTCATCTGCAAGGGAACTGTAAGTTCATTTGCCTTGCTTGAGGATAAAAGCCCCTCGGCAGCTTGTTGTGAGCTCCCATGAGGCAAGCCAAATCCTGCTGCATGGGAGTGGTATCCCTGTGCTGGCCAGCGCGCCAGCGGGAAGTGGAAGGGGGATTCAGACAGAGGAGAAATTCTAGAGGGGAGAATAGATGCAAGAAATTCCTAGGAATGTTACAAAAATCAACATCCCCCCCTCTGCTCCTTCCAAACCAACCCACCTAAAAAATGCCGTTTTGTGGGCTATTTTGGAAAGGAGTCCATGCCTGGGGAATTTTTGGCTGATGCTTATGGCTTTTAGAAGTTTCTGGGAGATCAGACGAATAGAAACAGGAACCAGATGGGACTTCTAGCTGCTGGAAAGAAAGGAAGAAAAAAGGGGAGAAAAAAAAAAATCCCTTGTTTAAAATGTGAAAAGCACTTGTTCACTTTTGGGGGAGTTTCCCCTTCACTCTGGATTTCTTATTTTAAAGTAATTTACCCCAGTTCCATCATATTCTCTTAGGACATTTATCTCTTTTGTTGTTGTTGCTAGGAATTCTTCTTTCTTTTGCAATAAATAACAGTTTATTCTTAAGAGAATTTAAGCCTTTGCCTTAGTAGATAAAAAGAAAGTCAGTGGTTGGTTTTGTTCTTGCAGCAGCTTCAACATCCCTTGGCCATTTTCTCTCTGTGTTTATCCCTGTGAGGCTGCAAAACATGAAAGAAGGCAGTGGTAGCTGAGAGACAGCTCTGAGCTAACAAAAGGGAGCACACATAGGTCCTGTTTAAGGTCATCAAAGGGAGAGTTGCACCATGCTGGAACACACTATAGACCCAAACATGGGCCTCAGATGTATGGTGTCTGCAGTGACCCAACTTGTCAAGCATAGTGCTGGATTTGTGGTGTCTTGGCTGTTTGGTTTTGGGGTTGTGGGTCCAGAAAACAGGCCTGGTCCAGTCCCAGGCTCCATTTTATCAGACCTTGGCTCTGGAGCTGGTTCATCTCTGGAAAACATCCCAGAGGCTGAACAGGGCCAAGGAGCATTTTCCAGCTCCTGGGTCCAAGCTGGACTCTGTGCTGGGAGTCCATGGTCTGACACCATGCTGGGACTGGGCTCAGTTGTGCTCCATCCTCACAGTCAGTTCTTTCCAGGCTGGTGGGCAGCAGGGGAGCAGTGGAGTGGGTACTTTACACATTGCCATGCTCTGCTTGGAGAGCCATGGAATCTTATTCCCTAGCTGGTAGGAAGAGGAAGCAAAGTAGATACCACCTTGTAGATAAAGATAGTAACCATACATGCAAGCTTTGCCACTAATCTTCTGTTCAAGGTTCTGCTCATAATGAATTCTTTTAATGGTTAATTAGGGTTGTGTTGTGTTAGTTTTTAACATCCAGTTTTCCAGTCATTTACTGCTTCCTGGTAAAAACGCACTCTTCCAGGTTCCTGTCTTGTTTTATAGCCTTCCTTTTCTTGATAATCATTTTGTATTATTTCTTGTGCCCTCTAATCTGAAGCCATTCCCAAGATAGGGTCATCAGCACAAGGCAGTGACCCTTGATAAACCTTCACCCACGGATTGTAAGTCAGCATGAAAGGAAATCCATCCCTTGGACTTAATAAAGTATAAACTGTATTTCTAGGGAATTGATTGGAAGCTTCATGAACAGCATTAGGACTGTTCTGTGTGCTATGAGGCTTATGAGTGGTGATGCACAAAGTCAACTGTAGATATTTTAAGACACAATAGTTGGTCTTTTGTTCGCATTTTCAACTGTGTGTATGTTGGAACACATGGCTTTGGTTCCAAGGTTTGTCACAGATGGACCTAACTAAGCCAGCTTGAGCCCTCTCCTATGGTGACCAATTGATTAGATTAGTTGAAATGAAAAAAATGCCCCAAAATGTAAGGCTTTGGGTTTGAGTGGCCAACTGGAGTTCTGATTTCTGTGGCTTGCTCTTTTCCTTTGGCTCAGGCTGGTCCGGCAGGATGTCCCGTATTAGAACAGTGCTCAGTTGTTGTTGTTCTTTGTGGTTCCAGTGAGCTGCTTTTTCAGCAATGTCTGGAAGGAAAGAGGCATAGGGGACTTGGTTCACAGCATTTGGACAAAAGCTTTTATTTTCCCTTTCCCCCCCCCACCCCTTCTTTTTGCTTGTCATGGATCTGATGTGCAAGCATTTCCTGGAGTGACATGCTGAGATTTCTAAAGCAAAGTGCTCCTCACATGACTCAGGTGGCTGCTGTCACAGTCAAAGCAGTATCACCCTAGGAATTTTGTTTGAATTTAGCTTCCAGCTCAAACAAAAGTCATCTGAGTAGACGAGCTTTTACTGGTTTCACTTTGGCTTCCTATGTCGGTTTAATTTGGCCCATGTTTGCTCAAAATGTCTCCAGCTGTCTAGAAACTTGTTCCTAGCTTGCTGGAACATTCACAGCCCTTTTGGCCAGTGTGACCTTAGTTAGAAAGGCTGGCTGTTGTTTACTCCAGATCATTTTTACTAGCTTAGTTATATATAAGGCAGGTCACATAATTAAAGAGACAAACGCATTGGTTGCTGTCCTTGTGTTCCCACGTGAGAAGCTCCTGCTGTGCACAATGCCCAGGCAGGAGATCTGCCAGAGAACACCACCTCATTTAGTTCCATGGGAGATTTTTGCTAATATTTTCTTCTGTGTTATCGCTCTCTTTGTTTCTCTGTTGGAAAGCTTCCCTCTTTCACACTGAGGACCAAAGTGTCAGAAGATTAAAGGACTGTCTTTTCGCCCAACTAATATGAATTGGATGCTGAACTGTGTGCTGCTCAGAAGATGAAATGCCTTCTAAAGAAGTGAGTGGCTAGAAGGAGGCAGTGAAAATCCATCAGATTTGCATGACTAATTAGCTTATCCATTAGTTATTATCCTTGTGTTTACTTGTAATGAGAATCTTCAAAGATTATTCTATGTTGGATATGCAGCTGATTTTTTGCTTACAGAGGTTTTTTGCTTACTGCAACGTGTGCTGTACCTTGACATGCATCATTCTCTCCTAGCCCAGGTGTCCATCCTCTGGAGGGTGTTGATCCTGCAACCATTAGCAGGGGATGAACCAAGTGCCGACACAGCCCAGACTGTGCGTGAGACATTTTCCCTTTCCCCTGAAACTGGGTCTGATTCTCTGAACTTCTTGGCACCCAGATCCGAGCCTTGTTTCATGAGCTGGATGTCAAGTCCTGGTTTTTTGGTACTTTGAGTTATTCAGCTCCTCAGTTGTTAAACAAGTGCTCCTTTTGTGAAAGGCGTTCATGCTCTGTAGGAAGAAATTTTCTCTGTGTGCCTTCTCATAGTTTTCTCAGTGCATGGTAGGATTTTGTAAGAGGAATGTGACTTCTGTAGTTGTTATTTTCAGGTCTTCCTTATTCATGCAGGTTGAGAGAGTTAGTAGAACTGAAAAAGAAGCTTGATGTAAGAAACCTTTGACAGATCTCCCCAAAGAGCTAGATGTGGTACTGTTCTCTTCCTGCACGACTCCACCAGGCAGGTCAGTATCGTTTCGTGTTTTCTGTCAGCTTTAAGAAAACTTATATCTGAGCCTGATGTTATTGTGGAAGCAGACTTTGCCAGCTCAGTGATATTTTTCCTTTGCCAAGAACCTGCAGGGATGCGCTGGATGCGCTTTGCCTGGAATCAGAGCTCCTGATGTGTTTGGGACTTTTATCATCACCTGCTTCAGACTGAACGAAAGGTGGGAACTGCTGTTCTCTCCAAGCACTTCTCCATCATTTCTGTAAGTTTGCTACAGAGCTTATAGAAAATGCTATCTCCAAGTTGCCTGGAGCACATTTGGAGAGTTTGCTGCCTGGACAGTGGTATTATTTACTTTGAATTTATTTACTTTGAATCCTGTATAAATCTCTGCAGTGCTCTCTGTGCCTTGGTTCCCACAGGTTTCCTGAGCTGGAGTTTCACAATGACGATGTTCCTGGAGCATCTCAGGACAGCCTGCTCCATGGGGTGCATCCCTCCAAGGATTGCCAAAGATGCCAACGGGTCCAGCTCTGCACCAGGAAAGCCTCAAGAGCCCCGATTCAGCCAAAGCCACTCGTTCCTCACCTCCAAGCACCCCAACAGCCCTGGGAGGAGACGGCGCATCCCTGGAGCAAGCGGTTAAGTGCTTTGCTGAACCAGGGCCAAGGTCCAGCACGGAGCCACCCAGCTCCCGCCGGCTCCCTCGTTGGCGCCGCACCGTGGAGTCAGGCCTGGGCTCGCACTGGAGGACGTTACGAAATCCTGGCCCTGACAGAGAGCAGATGCATTATTGGGAAGCCCTCGGGTCATGAGAGGGCTAATAGTCACATTCCTGGCTGGGATGGCGAAAGATTTACGCCGGGCGCTTGCTCGCCTCGCCCTGCACCAGGCCGGCTCCCCGCTTCACCGGCCCCCTCGGCTTTAATTGTTGTGTTAATGGCCCTTTTATTTGAAGCAGATCCCCTGGCTTACAGAGGAGAATGTCATTATGTCGTATTTTAGATGTATTTACATTCTCCTTGCCACAGGGATAACGTTCTAATTATTTTCTATAGCTGACAGCACCAGCGTCTCTGGTATTAGGGACCCCTTAGACCTGATTACATGGTCTGTTTTTCTTCAAGTCACTCACAAATGACAGTGTGGAGCAGGTTTATTATCAATTGACGTACCTTTGCTTAACGCAACTTGCTCCCGAAACAAATGTCCTGGAAAGATAATGCATGTTTAGTGCATGTGTCTTCGTTTGCGTGAAGGCAGATGGGCTTAGGAGGTCAAGCCAACGGTTGACCTCTCCTCTGACTCCTCAGGCTTCAAATGGTGGAGAATGACAGCATGGGAAGGGGATAGAGGTGCAGGGGGAAAGGGGGGAGAAGTGGAGGATGTTAGCTTAGTTTTGCATGGAGGTGGAGAGAGGTGTTGGAGTCTGGCTGAGATGGTGGGATTGTGCCTGTGTCAGAAGTTGTTTTCAAGGGAGAATAGAAGGCAGAGCTCCTCACTGGAGATTGCTGTGCAACATGCAGTGGACTTGATGGACAGGGTGGTGAGAGGAGACGCCTGGCAGCAGGCTGTGTGGGGCTGGTGGATGGAGCTTGGGAACTGCATGGAGAAAAGAACTGCCTGAGAAGCCTGACAAGCTTGACAAGAGAAGGTGGGATGGGGCCCATCGCTGAGCTAGAGACAAGAGCAGAGAAGGTGGCTTTAGAGCAAGGGGTGATGCCAGGGAGGTGTGAGAGCACCACACAGAAGTTATAACAGCAAGTGAGATAAGGAGAGTGAGAGACACAATTATTAGACCAGAATGATTTGATTTATCCCAAGTCATTTATTCACCAAATTTCTCCCCTGAGATTTTCAATGGACTGAAGTGGTTTCAAATGTTGTCATTATTTAGAACAATTCAACAAAATGTTTGCTGCTTTGAAAGGCAAAAGGGAGGGGCAAGGGATGGAGAAAAGAAAGAAAGAAAGGAAAAATAAAAGCCTGGATGGTCTGGTTTGCCGCATTTGAATTTTATTGCCGACTTGGAATGGGTCAAGAAAAATCACTCTTTCTGTTCTCTGAGCGGGAGTTTCACTTACAAAGCCACTTCTGATGTGAGCGCTTCCCCAAGCTCAGATCCAGGCTCCGTGTGTATTCAAACATGAAACGACAAAAAGGCAGTATTTGTGCTGGTGAAACCCTGTCGAGGAAATGTTTGTGCACCAGGACAATTTCATTACAAAACTCAGGCGCGTCTTCGTGGAGACTCTTTGCCTGGCAGCTCTAGAGATTATTTCATACTCGGCCCTGCTGGGCACCAAGGCACTTTACAAGCAAATAGAAAGGCAAAGACACTGCCCCGAGGGAGTTACATTCTAAATCAGACCAAAGCAGAGTGAGAATGCTGGCTGCAGGGTTTACAAAGCAGAAGGTGGGCACTTTTGTTTGGAAAGGCAAGGATCTCACTAAGTTTTTCTTGTGTGTGTGCATGGCTTCTGGAGTACTTTTAGCCATGGCTTAAAAGGAATAGGTCTCCACAAGGTTCAGTGAAAGGTGGCAGGAGGGTAGAGGTCTCAGAGGTACTGTATTCCTGTTTTGTTTCGTTAGAATAAAAGCTGGGTGGAGGAGAGGCAACCAAACCATTATTTCAATTGAAAGAAAAGCTCCTACGTGTTCAGAAGTAGTATTGCTGTCTTCCAAAAATCTGAGAGGAAAAGAAGGGAGAAATGTTTTCTAGCAGCCATTGTGGCTACAGCCAGTGGTGAAGTTGCCATCACAGCATGTACAGGAGAGTTGTACCTGTTAAGAGACAGGACAATTTAACCATGGGAACACAACATCCAGGACAACAGGGTCCTTATTTTCACCTCTTTTGAAGTTACCTTGCTTGTTTTTAATTTACTCATATGCATGTGGTGGGTGGCAGCTTGGGGATGCTGCTTTCAGCTCCAAGAGGCATGAATGAGCACAGCATCTCCTGCCTCTGCTGGAGAGCATTTTTGGGTGGAGGTGCTGATGGGTCACATCCAGTTGGTCACTGTGCAAATGGAAGCTAAAGAGAGGATGAGTTACAGTTTTCTTACTGCTGTTTTTAGGTTGGACTGAATAATAGAACTGAGTATCTGCTGCCTTGTTTGGTCAATTTGATCAACCTGTTGGCCTCAGTACAGGATGAGGAATGACAAAACATGGGACTGGTTCTGTACCAATGTCATTTTGTGGAGTTTCACTTGAGAATATTCAAGTATGTGTGTCCTGTGCAGATCTGCTGCCCTGTGAATGTCTGAGCTGTAACGAGGTGAATGCTACTGGAAAACAAAGGTTTAATTAACTCTGCTGTTTCAATACTTTCATAAAGCGCATTCCAAATCATACACGTAGTTGTGAAATCAGTCATTGATGCTGCGTTTGATGGTTCCAGCACTTGTGTGGGTTTCTTTACCTTTTTTCTGAGGAGCCTCTAATCAGATGACTTCGTTTTCAGAACATGGCACAAAAGAATAAATTGCAAGTACTCTGTGAATTATTAAAGGAGAATATTATTAGTAACTTAGAAGAGGAAATTTGTCTAGAATTTTGTGTCATGTTGGCTAATTGTCCAGCAACAGAAAGGAAAAGACAGGCTAAGTCAATTAGTTCAGCTTATTTATTGAGATGGCTTTTTTCTGATACCTTTTGGGTACTTGTGCTTGGCAAAGCAAGTGGTTGTGTGGAGCAGGATAGCAGGGATTTGGGAGTTTTGTTTGTTTTCTAAACTAAAAGCGATTGGATTGCAGCACTGATTGATAGAAAGGCCATGTAATATGCTTCTGCAAGTATGCAAAATACTTTTCTCTGAGTCACAAATGTACCAACACAGTGCTCTTCTGGAGGTGTCGGTATGCAGCACAGCAGGGAGGTAAGAGGGGCCATAGTTTTGCCAGAAGGACTTCAATGCTCTGGACATGCACACTAAGATCAGGGCTCTAGAAAAGGTTAGGGTCCATAAATCACTTCTGGTGGAGCCCAGGAGTGAGAGCACCAGCAGGAGCTGTGGTGTGAACAGACTTGAGGCACGATGCCTCCGCCATATAGGGAATCCCCTTCAATGCTGTAGGCATCACCATCGTTATCTCTGCTCCAGTGGGGTCTTGGCTGGTAGAGACTCCCAAGTCACACCTCTGCACGGAGCTCACTTTATCTTCATCAGGAGGTCGAAGGCTGAGTCAGCCCTGCTGGGATTTGCACCGGTGGTTCCAGGAAGTCTGGGTATTTCAAACCTTAGGGTTAGACCTCTAATCATCCCCTTATCTCTACTGCCTAACATCTGAGTCTGCAAAATTGGGGTGGAAATCTCACACAAACATGCTTTCCCCAGCGGCATTTCTGCATTTGTTTGCCAGTGGAGCCCAGGACCAGCGAATGGCACAGAAGATTCAGCTTTGAAACCAAAGGTTTAATCTAAGTGTTGCATGGAAGGCCTGGTCCTTTCTTGATTGATGGCTTGCTTACTGCTTGCTGACAGCTGGAGACATTCACCCTTTGGGGCAGAAACCCAGAGTTAACACTCAGAGACGCAAGTGTTGGCCCTCTTGGGCTATAAGTTTAGAGGAACCCAGTTCCTATAACTTAATTTATACAGCCACTGGGGATGAAAGGAAGGGGTTGCTGCTTTCTTGTAACTTACAAAGAAACAGTCTCATCCTAAAAGCCTTACTGCTTGGTACATGCAGAAATGGTACAAATTATCCAAGGTGGGATTTTTACAACCCAAGAATTCAAAGACAAACGGTGTGAGGTCCTACATCAGGCCAGCATCTCTGAATCCCTCCCCAGGTAACTTTTATCAACCTCACTTGGCCACAAAGCCTGAAAGAGCTCAGAGAGATGAAATTC